ATGTAGGTACATGTGTACAACGGCGAGTGTGTGTGGGTTTTTAAAAATGTTTTTGAGGGGGAAGGTGTTGGGGATAAAGGGAAGGACGTGGGAAAAGGAATTCAATCTGAAGGACAGCCAGTCAGTTCTACAAACCACGAGCCGCCCCTGCTCGGGTCTTTTTTCCTTGACGATGTACCCACCTAAGCTCGGGTCGTCTCTGACAGGCTGGATCGAAGACTGTCTCTTAAAGGGTCTAAACTGTGTCGATGGGCGAGTAAAAACATATGGGTGGTTGTCAGGTACTCTGGTGAGATTTGTTCATTCTTTCCTATCAGACATCTATCGTTTTATCCCCCCTTCATTTCATGAAGGAAGTTGTTAGGCACTCGTACGCCCGCCTAACACTGAATTGTTCTGGGCACGTATTTTAAAGTCAAGATTGTTCCCCGATTAATAACAATTTCATCAGCGTGTTTGGGAACGTTGTACAAGGATATTGAGACTCGTTAAAATGATGATACCTTGAGATCTAGTCAGTCTCTAGATACTAGATATTGGAAACGTTTTCATTTCTTTAAACGAGTTAAGTAAGTATGGTAAACAGAATTTCTGCAGTTCCGTCAAAAGGAGACTCCCAAAAGGTAGGTCTAGATCTATTGTTACTCATAGTCTTGTGACTTTGAAAATACGACGTGCCCCGAACAATTCAGCGTTAGGCGGGCGTACGCTTCTTCTTTGAATGTTGCTCTTTAACTTAAGCCTAGTAACATCTTTAATCTCCGACACTTATATGACCTTTTCAAAAATAAAACTCTTTCCGAAACGAAAAACAAAACAAACAAAAACGAAAATAAATAGGCTAGATGAAAACGTAGACACCGCACCTTAAAAAAACAAAAACGTTCCAGGGTTCTTAGGATAAAAAGAAAGTCACCTGACACAGGCTGTTCTTTTTTTTTTCAGGGTGAAGATCGATACACGCACACGATGTGGCAATGAAATGTTTTTAATTTAATTTCAGAAGATCCTGATGCTTCTTCATTTGAAAAACTGAATAGTGGAAAACTGTATTTTAGTGCAGATAAAAACATCTCTAATGCGGAATAAAAATGGAATGCCATCGTTACCCCGACTGATTCATGGAAATGGTTTGGTATCTTAACTAGGTAGTGGCGTAATTGCTGTTTGAATGGTCCAATGACTTTTCTCTTGGACCAAGCTTCGGTAATACACTCGATAGATCAATCTTCTCCCCCTCAATTATATCGATTCGATAAAACCAGCGTCTACGCTATGGCAATCAAGCGCTCCACCCTGGCATACAGAAGCTGCATTCTTGGGTGGAGGAGAATTTTGAGTAGACCTACCTCGGTCTTTGAGCTGTGACATTTCATCCGTCTCAGCCCAAGTTGGCCCTGGAAATCATGGTCGAATCCTTTTTCCCAAATTATGTAAAGATGGGTTCCCGTGGTCTAGAGATTAAGGTGTTCGCCTCTTATTCAACAGGTCCCGGGTTCAAATCTGGATAGTGTCGGCAAATTTTCTTCTCTAAGATCTTCTCCTTTCACATCCTTTCCTGCTCTCTAACAATGCTCTGTCGTCTGCTTTCGTCTCTATTTTCTGACCCATCCCCTCACATCCTTTGTCCCCTCCTCTGGGCTCCTGGCTCTTTCTGCAGCCTTTCTACTGCTTCTCCTTTGCTCCTTCTTACTGCTGTCTTTCAGCCACACCCCTGATCTTATGATAGGCGAGATATACATCTAGCCCTCTCGGAAAAGTTCGAAAAATCTCGGAGGTCCCGTGTGCAAGTTGCACACGTTAAAGATCCACTGAGGGTCCAAACTCGATATGAGTATTTTGAGTAGGCTTCGGCCGCCACCCGTACAAAATTCATAATTTCCTACCAGCTGAAAATATTTGGTGTGTCCTGCATGATCAGTGATCATACGACCTTATGCAGTTGCGAGCGCCGTTAAACACTTACCAAAACAATAATAATAATCTTTTTTTTTAAAATGTAAATTTTGGCAAACATAAAAACAACATAGATTACTTCAGTTTTATTCGTACAAGAATGGGTATCGAGGTAAGCGACTCTGTACATGGGAGCGTCCTCATGGAATATACTATTACAATCCACGTATATAACATTGGTTTTGCTGACAGTCCTGTGTTAAAAAACACCGTCGACTTCATAGCACCTCTTTTCCAGTACATAATCCCAGGCGTAGTTGTTTTTTGTTTTCTGGTTCTTACTGCCATGGCTGTTCACATTGCAAAGAATTTCTGTGTTGTGGGCTTTTTGACCCCCCCGTTACGCCCCCAATCTCATTTCATTTATCTTCTGGAAACATGTTATGTCACTTGTGTGATTGATTTATTAAATTACATGTATCTTGTCTGATTCTGCTTCCTGGCAAGACGAAGCCATTGTCAGGCTCTCACGCATTTGTTCTCAACTCCTCTCAACTTCTGATGGATTACTATTCTGTATTTCGATTTTCAATTAATGTACATCTTCTTAACTCCGTCTTTACCAGTGTCTATGATGCGACGGTTGGGCGCTTCTCTTTTGCTCGCAGAAGACCAGAATTCGATTTTCAATCAAATATCTCTGTCTATCTCTGCAAAGATGTTGTATCCTTCTCAGCACGGGTTGGGTAGAGTCGAAGCCCGCCTCCCAAACGATCTAACGTGTGTTGTTGGGGGCTTCAAATACCCATCCCCCCCTTCTCTCTCTTTCTCTTTCCATCTCCCTCACTCCC